AGTATGCCTAGGTATGGTTTTCTGTGGATTTATTCTGCTTGGGGTTTGCCAAATTTCTTGAATCTGTAAATTTATGTCGGGTACCAAATTTGGGAAGTTTCTCTGCCCATTATTTATTTATTTTTTTTGGAGTGCAGGACAGAGTTTATTCAAAGTTCATACAGACTGGCCATTTCCTTCTACATCATGAATAGAAGAATGCCTGTGGAAAAGGCCATTGTTGCAAAATCACTTTAATTCTTTTCTCTGCAATACAAGTCATTACAAGCTATCGGGCAGGCAGTGGAATGTGCTGTGCTCGTTACAGTACTGAGCCTGTAATTGTTGGTATCAAAATATGCATTTGTGTCCCGTAAAAACAGCGTTTTCTGCCTCTCATGTCTTACAACAGGTATAAAAATTATAAATATTTACACCCTTGTCCCACCCCAACATGAATCTTAGGGGTCCAAGCCCCGAGGGAAGGGCCGGCCAGCATGGGTTCTGTGCACAGGAGAGCCCCTTGGAGCAGGGAGTGCAGGGTGATGTGAGGGAAAGGAGACAGTTAAGACTCGAGGGCTGTTGTCCTACCTTCTGGGGGCCCAGCATTAGAGGCAAAGAACACAAACAAAACTTTGGTCCAAAAATTGCAGGAAAAATAAACCCTGAAGGCTTAAGAGTCCTTGTCCTCCGAGACAGAGGGCAGGTTAGGTGTGAGGCATCTGGAGGTCTCAGATGGAGGCCTGGGGCTTCTAGAAGGACCTGGGCTCTCCTGCCCCACCCCCTCCACGGCATCTGCCCTAGAAACTAGGTCCCGCCCTGCGACTTCATTACAAGGAATAAAATTAAAAGTACAGTACACAAAGCCATACGAGGAAGAAATTTAGATTACACTCATACCATTTTTATCGTGCTATATAAAAAGTTACTTAAAACTATTTCTCTTGCATATAAATGAAGAAAGATTGGGATATTTGGTCAACTGGAGATATTGCTAGGCACAGGTGTGCTCACTGCATCAAAGCACAACAGAGCATGACGAGCCCCAAGCCAAAAGCGCCAGGGTGGGGAGGATCACACGCTTGATTAGATGAGGATTGGAGTGTGGGCAGCCCTGCACGGTGACTTCCTGCCACACCAGGCGCATGATCCCTGCAGAAGGCTGTCCCCTCAGCCCCCAAACCCCTACCCGTTTGCTACTCCAAGAAGGCCCTGTGGGAGCAGCAGATCTAAGGCACAGGAATGCTGAGTGGAGGTTTGGGAGCGCCAACCTGCAGGATGCAGAGGGCACAGGCAAGGGGCCTGGGGAGTGGGCACTGTCCACAGCCGCCAAGAGCCTGCAGCCAGCACCCCATCTCCCCAAGGTGAGCAAGATGAGTTAGATTTATTTTTTTAAAAAACAGGTAAACTTATTTCTCTCTAAAAAAATCAAATCTCTGGTCTTTTAAGGTCACTTAAGCTGCTTTTAAAGTGGCTTTTTGTGGAATGATGGAAGTTGTCGCTGGGCATCCGGCAGGCCGGTGCTGGTGATGGGCCCTAGATGGTGGACTTGGAGAAGGACACCCACAGGTGGTGGTTCTTGCCCAGGTCATGGTGAGCAGCTTGATGCGTGCCTGGACGGCCTCTTCCACTGAGCCTATCTGGATCAGCGCCATCTTGTGGTCCTTTTGGAAGAACTTGAACCCTTTGATGATGCTACCATTGCTGGAGAAGAGCATCTTGAGGTCATCCTCAGATATGGAGGGAGGGATGTTGGACAGGTGCAGGGTGACTGAGTGCAGGAAGATGTTTTGGAAGTTCTTGGAGCCCAGCTTCTTGAAGTGGCGCAGGGGTGAGTTCCTGTAGTCCTTGGTCAGGCTCTGGTCCTCCTGGCCCTCATGGGGCAGCTGCACATCCTGGTGCTTGGACAGTGTGATGCACACCTGCTTTCCGTGCAGCTTGTGCCTGTTCAATTAGCTCATGGCCAGCTGGGCCTGGTTCCCATCTGCCATCTGCAATGGGGCATTCTCCTTCTTATTGAACAAAATCTTCACCCACTGCACATTGCCGTACATGCCGAAAAGAAGAAAGAGGCTTTGGGGTGTAACTTTCTCAGGGTTGAGGTTGCTGACCAGCAGGACGGAATTGCCGGTGCCCCCAAGGCTAGGGATGGTGATCGACCCACTGCAGCCTCAGCCGCTGCTGTCGATGGGATGGCCAGAGGGGCCAGGGCCACATGCATATTGGGGCTGGAGAGGCCTTCAGCCTGAGGAATGATAAGGTGGGAGGGAAACCAGCTCCTGCGTATGGGGAGGCTGACATTATACCAGGTGCACTGAAGGCTGCAGCCATGGTCTGCTCCAGCGAGGGCTGGCTGTCACCAGAGGGCAAGTCAGGGCGGATGTAGTCTCGGCTCTTACTGTTGTTCTATTTGATTTTGAGGCTGGTGAGCGTGGAGAAGGTGATGCGGAGTGTGCAACAGGTATTGCAGATATTCTGCCCGTCCAGGGACAGCTTGGCATGCTGGGCTCTCACGGGCTAAATGTACTGCAGCAGCACCTGGAACTGCTTGTTATTGGTGAAGGTGATGATCTTCAGGACCGTGCCAAACTTGGAGAAGATCTGGTGGAGCACATCCAAGGTGACTGGGTAGAAGAGGTTCTCCACGATGATCCTGAGCACTGGGCTCTGGCCCGCCATTGCCATCCCGGCATCCACTGTAGCGGCCGAGGTGGCCAGAGCCAGGTTCCATGACTGGACGGAGTTCACGGCCTGCAGGGAAGACTGGGCCCGCGTCTTGTTGGGTGAGCTGTCCATGTTCAGCTCCTTGTGGTTGGAGAACTGGATGTAGATGGGCTGGCCATGCAGCATGGGCATCACTGACGTGTAGTAGTGGACCATGGTGTTGGCAACCTCCTCTTTGTTCATCTCCATGAAGGCCTGGTTTTTCCCTTTCAGCATCAGGAGGGTGGTGACCTTCCAAAAGGGCAGCTCCAGGGAGCTGACCTCGCCCTCAGTGACATCACTGGGGAGCTTGCGGATATGGATCACTCTGGAGGGCACACCCGCACTTCTGTTGTCATCTTTGAACTTGCTGTCATTTCTGTTTGCGGCAGAGACTGAGTTGCTTGCCTATGATAAAGGGTCTGTTATTAACACATGCAGAGAAGAGCTCCTCCGTTCTCTGCTTTGTACCAACTTCTATGTCTGGGACATGCTGTCCATTGCACACAGAGGAGACTCGGTGGAGACAGAGTGGATGCACCAGAATGCTCGTTATTTTTTAAAACATATTTTCTGCCCCTTTCCCCCTTAACCTCCTGGGCCTGAAGTTACATGTATGTTAGATATTTTGATTTTGTCTTACCTATCCCTGAGACTCTATTGTTTTGTTTTTTGCAAAAATTTTATCTCTACTTTTCAGATTGGATCATTTCTGTTGATCTGTCTTTATATTCATTAGCTTTTTCTTCTGTTATTTCCATTGCACTGTTAAGCCCATCCAGTGGATGCTTTTTAGTTGCAGATTGTATTTTTCAGTTCTAGACTTTTCAGTTGGTTATTTTTTATAGTTTCTATTTCTCAGTTGAGCTATCCTATTATTCATTATGAACATATTTTTCTTCATGTTCTTGAGCATACTTATATATAACTTATTTAAAGCCTTTTTCTGCTAATTTCAGCATTTGGATCATCTCAGGATCAGTCTCTGCATTTACTCCTGAACCTCTTACCTTTCTCTTAACACCCTTCTGTCTCTTTCTATGTTGAGTTTCAGATTGTATTTTGGTTGTTGTAAATCATATATTGCACTAACTGGGCCTATTTGCAAGCTAAAAGCTTTAAAAATGGTAAACCCATCCAGAGCTATCTCTTCTTCTAAGTGTCAACTCTCTTTCAGTAGATGCCTGATTTTGTTTGCTTTTCAGTATCTTCAGGTAATAGTTTTTTTACATTTTGTTCAGAGTTTACAGTTGTTATCTGTATGAGGGTTGGTCTGATAAAAGCAATTTAGTCATACTGGAACTTAGTTTTTGTTAATTTAAGAGTTAAATTTTTTTATATGGTATGAGGTATGGATCAAGGTTTTGTTTTTCCTCCAATACTGATATCTGTTTGTTCCAGCACAATATTTTGAAAATACTTTCCTTTCTCCCATGAAATCACATTGGCACCTTTGTGAAAAAACAGTTGTCCATATATGCGTGTATCTATTTCTGGACTCTGTTCTGTTCCATTGATATATCATCTATCTGTACTTACATCAGCACCACACTGTCTGAATTATTGTAGCTTTATAGTAAGTCTTAACATTATGTAGTATAAATCCAACATACTATTACTTGCTTTGGCTCTTCTATGTCCTTTGCACAGCCATATAAACTTTACTATCCCCTTGTCAGTTTTTACCAGAAAGTTAACAAACAATTGGTTGGACAAGTAGAAGACAAACAAGTAGAGTGTTTGAAAATTTCAACAACACTCAACCACTTGATTTATATATCATAGAACATGATACCTATCAATAGCTGAATACACATTCTTTTCCAGAGACATGTGAAAGATCCTCCTAGATAGACCATATGTTGAATCATACAGAGTATATTTTCCAACCACTATGGAATTAAATTAGAGATGAGCGATAAAAAGGCATCAAAAGAAAATGGCCGTATTTTTAAAGTAAATGAAAGCAACAGTAGAGGGAGCTATGTGAAGTTTTGCAAAAAATATACATGTTTCCTTCTAAAAGTTATAGAACCCAGATTTCCCATTAAAATGAGCAAAAAAATAGTGTCAAGGTCAAATCCTGTACAAAATTATTATTTTTTAAAATGAAAGACTAAATGCTGGATACAGTTAACAGCAGAAATTTATGATTTTGTACTTGTAGTCTATAGAACATGAGGTAAAACTAGGTATTTAATAGGCACACCATATGGCATACTATGGTGAAAAAAATCATTAAAAACAATTTCCCATCTATCTTCTCTCCATCCCCCAGTGCTGACCATGTCACCTTGAACAGAATTGTGTTGTTACAGGTCTCACTGTCATTCGAGGATGTGACTGTGGACTTCAGCAGGGAGGAGTGGCAGCAACTGGACTCTACTCAGAGACGCCTGTACCAGGAGGTGATGCTGGAGAACTACAGCCACCTGCTCTCCGTGGGTAAGCACAGCCAGCCACCCTGTGAATCTGTAAGGAGCTTGTTATGGGTAAAATTGTGTCCCCCAAATAAAATATGTTGAAGTCCTAACCCTTGGTACCTAAGAATGTGACCTTATTTGAAAATATGGTTTTTACAGAAGCAATAAAGCTAAAATGAGGTTAATAGGGTGGGTCCTAATCCAGTATGACTGGTGTCTTTATAAAAACAGGAAATCTAGACACAGAGACAGACACACGCAAAGTAAAGACAATGTGAAGATACAGAAGGAAAAGATGTCATGTGACTGGAGTGATGCATCTATAAGCCAAGAAATGCCTGAGGCCACCAAAAGCTAGGAAGAGGCATGAAACAGTTCCTTCCCAAATACCTTCAAAAAGACCATGGTCCTGCTAACACTTTGATTTTGGACTCCTGGTCTTCAGAACTTTGAGACAATAAATTTATGTTGTTTTGAACCACCCAGTTTGTGGTACTTTGTTACAGCCACCCTAGGAAACAAATACAGATTTTTGTAGTACAGGCAAGTAGGGTGCTGCTATAAAAAATATCTAAAAAAACATGGAAGTGGCTTTGGAATTGGGCAGTGAGTAGAGGCTGGGAAGGTTTTGAGATGCTTGATAGAAAAAGCCTAGATTGCCTTGAAGAGACTGTTGGTAGACATATGAATGTTAAAGATGCTTTTGGCTAAGGGATTCAGAAATACAAATAAAGTAAAAGTAAAATAAAATACCTAGAAAAAAATATGTTTTTGGTGCAGTCTCAGATGGAAGTGAGGAACATGTTATTGGGAACTGGAGGAAAGGCAATCTTTGTTACAAAGTGGCAGAGAATTTGATTGAATTGTGTTTTCTTGAGTTGAAAGTAGGACTTGTAAGTGATGAACTTTGATATTTAGCTGAGGAGATTTCTGTGCAATGTTAAAGGCATGGCCTGGTTTCTCCTTGCTACTTAGAGTAAAATGCTAGAGGAAAGAGAGAAATTGAAGAAGGAATTGTTACTAGGAAGGAACCAGAATGTGAAGATTTGAAAAATTATCAGCCACATTGCACAAAAATGGAAAGGTGTGCTCTGGAAAGAACACCAAGAATGTGGCTGGACAAACATTTGCTGAAGAGATTAGGTGCATGGATCTGATCAACCATATCAGTAGAAACGCTGCCAGCTTGGACTGAAGAGAACAGAGATAGGACAAAATGAAGGAAGGCTGTGAGGTTTCTGAGAGTCTACAGACAGGAAATAGGCTGGTACAACTATTTGGCGGTGAACATGCATTATTAGACTTCAAGAAAAGAGATGAATGATTCCAAGAATGGTTCAGAAACCGGCAGGGCTATCACTGCCACCACGGGCCCAAAGAGCATAGGCGAGGAAGGTGTGGGGTAATAGGCTGTCACCTCGTTGGTTCCAAAGGGCACGTCTCTCACTTCATTGCCAGGGCTGAGGGGACAGGACCACCACCCAGGGCAGAAGGTGTAAGGTTGCCACATCTGATTTGACATCATATCTCTCAATAGTTACACACTCTCTTTGAAGTTCTTTTTAACTTTCCCTATGGTACTTGTTGACTGTCGATTTCTTGCATGTATTTAGCCTTAGATGGAGTTTACCACTCACTTTGGGCTGCATTCTCAAGCAACACAACTCTGGAAAGACCCAGGCTCAGTGCTCCAGGGGCTGCTACTGGCCTCACACCATCTGCAGGCTAGGTCTCGATCAGAAGGACTTGGGTCCCCTACGAGTGGCACAGGGAAGAGCGTCTTCCATATGCCACATTTCCTAGGTCCCACCATGGGGCAAGGATTCAGTACTGGGCTCTTCCATGTTCACTCACTGTTACTGAGGGAATCCTTGCTGAGTTTCTCTTCCTCCACTGACTAATATATTTAAATTCCCTGCGCAAGTAAATTGAGACTCAGTAACAAGCCAAAAGCTGTTTCTTAAAAGGAGAGCAGTTATCCACAGAGAATGGCAGGGTTCTGCTCCCCAATCCTAGGATCTATGCTGTGATTCACCTGTAGGGGCCTGCCAAAGGCTCCATCTCTATCTGTCACTGCACTTCAAGCATCATTGAATCCGCTGGATCTGATGGCCCAGTTGGCAAAGCAGCTTGCACGGCAGTCTGGACCAGTTGCACAGCCTTCTGTTGTTGCTGGACCCCACTCAAAACTGGCATCCTTTTGGGTCACTCCATAAATGGGCCAATGTGACACACATGAGCAATATGCTGCCTCTAAAATCCAAACACGTTCACTAGGCATTGTCCCTCTCTCTTGCTTGTTAGATGGGCCAGGTGCAGCAATTATTTTTCACCTTAGAAGGGATGTCTTGACATGACCCACAAATGGACCTCTAGAAATTTCACTGAGGAGGAAGGCCCCTAAATTTTTGTCAAGTTTATTTCCCACCCTCTCATACATAGATATCTTATCCATAAGTCTAGAGTGGTTGCTGCTTCTTGTTCACTAGGTCCAGTCAGCATAATGTAATCAATATTATGGACCAGTGTGATATCTTATGGAAAATAAAGGTGACCAAGATCCCTGCAAACCAAATTATGACCTAGCACTGGAGATTTGAGATACCTCTGAGGTAGGACATGAAGGTATTAATATATAGCTGGACTTGCTTTATATAGACCTGTTTATAGCACAGTCACCCTGGTAAAGGGCAAACTGCTTCTAGTGATCTTTACTAACAGGCATTTCCAAAAAAGCATTTGCCAGATCAATAGCTGCATACTGGGTAGCAGGGGTTGCGTTAATTTGCTCAAGCAATGAAAACAAATCTGGTACAGCAGCTGATATTGGAGCCACCACTATCCCACACTCTTTTAAAAATTTTAACATTTTTTTCCAATCACAGTTGATATATTCAATATTATGTTACTTTCGAGTATACAGCATAGACGTTAGACATTTATATAATTTATGAAGTCATCTCCCTGATTAGTACCCACCTGGCACTATACATAGTTGTTACAATATTATGATTTTATTCCCTATGCTGTACTTCATTTACACCCCCGCAACTGTTTTGTAACTGACAATTTCTACTTCTTAATCTCGTCACCTTTTAAATCCAGCTCCCAGCCCCCCCCATCTTATCCCATACCCTTAATATCCATGTCTACAAATATTTCCCAGATTTCTGTCTGTATAAATTGGACAAATCATGCAGTTCTTTTGGTGTGTAGTGCATTTTCTCATGGGTCACACTCTGCACCTCACCCTTTGGGGCCTGATGGTACTTGAATCTAGTTATACGTCTAGAAACAAAGAGTAGTGGTGGAGTGGTTCGTGAGGGAACCATCAGTGCTGTGCAAGGCAGGTACCTCAGGGGAGGTCATTGCAGGCTCCTCAGGCAAAGTAGTAATCTTCTCAGTTGGGGGTAGAAGGTCTGCTTCTACAGACAGGGAACACTCATCAGAATTTAGAGGTTCAGTGTCCTCATATGTCCCCATCCCAATTATTAGGATCCCATTTCTTCCCAATCAATGTCCTCACTGTAAGAGCAGACATACTCCAAAGTTGGGAATTCAACTTGAGTAGTAATTTTGTTATTCACAGGATGAGACTCTGGGTTTGTTGTTCAGCAGTCTCAGCTCTGCAACTCTAGGAGCCAAAGTTTTCTTTCAGGACAGACATAGAAATTTTCAGGTCATTTATGTGGTGTTTGAGATGAGAAATCAAATCCCTGAGCTCATCCGTTTCTTTCCCCACTTTGCCCAGTACAATTAGGAGCAACCAGCCAATCTTATTATATTTATAAGTTTGATAAAAATTTCTAAGATATCAAATACATGATCACCCAGAATCTTGCCTCTTACAATCATTTCATTAAGAGTATCCCATGGTGATATTTTGCATATCACTATTGCTGCATCATGCCATAGACTATTAGTGCCCTCTTTACAACTGGAAGTAGAATCATTAGTGCCTTTAAATAGAATCAGAATAGGGAACCAATTCCAGAAACCCCATAACCAGTTCAGAAAATGCATTCTTGGGGACTTACGGTAAGATGGCAGAATAGACAGACACTGTGCCAATTGCCTCCCAGGACCACACCAAAATTACAAATAATTTATACAACATTCAACCTCGGAAGTCCCCTGAACACTAGATGAACAGAACCTCTAAACCAGCAGTTCTCAACCTGTGGGTCGTGACCCCTTTGGGGGTCGAACAACCCTTTCACAGGGGTTGCCTAAGACCACCGGAAAACAAAAAGATATTTACATTACGATTCATAACAGTAGCAAAATTACAGTTATAGAGTAGCAACGAAAATAATTTTATGGTTGGGGGTCACCAC